TGAACCAGCTTTGTCCCTTAGGAAAAGCTGTTTTGGAAGCTGCTGTCGTGGGATAGTGCGGGTGATTCCCGTGCCTGCAAGGTTCTATTATGCAAAAAGGAGAAGAAAAAAGGAAAAAAAAAAGCTACAAAGTCGCCTGGTGTTTGAGACAGCTCTGGAGTGTCCCCCAGGAGACGGCGCTGGGGCTCCCGGCTGCAGCAGAGCCCTTTGCATGGACACGGCTCCTGGGAGCTGCGCTCGCCAGTGCTGTGCTGCCAGGATGAATGGGGGTGGCACTCCAGCCGCCCTGACCTGCTGCAGTAGTGAGGTGTCACCAGCACAGAGATATTCAGCCCAGGAGAGATGGAGGCGGCAGGGTGAGCCCTAAACTGCAGCAGCCCCATCACAAAGGTCTGGGGAAACGGCTCCGTCCGTGCCGCTGCGGCAAAGCTCAAGAGGATTTGCTGTGCCCGAGTGTGGAGCACGGAGGAGGATGCTGTGCTGAGCGGGGAGGAGCGGCAAATGCTTTGGGCTGGCGAGAGCACCGGGCTGGGGGCTGCCCTGGCACCCCCACTCCCCTCCCGGGGGACTGAAGGTCATTCCTGCCGTAATGGGACACAGTGCAGATTCGGAGCAGCCTCAGGTAAATAACGTCGGGTCGCGATGTCCCAGTCCTCAGTGCAGTCCTGACCTAACACTGTGGGTCAGCGGTGGCCAACTGCCCCGAGGTCGGATGCGGAAGGAGCAGCGGGGCAGGGCTGGAAGAAATTGCTTGTAAATAGATCGTCTTCCATAATTCTCATGCAACTTTGATGGCCGTGTATTAAAGTTAACCCCAGTGTAAATGAATGAAATACTAACAGTCATGATTAGAATGATTGCTTTTTTTTTTTTTTTTTTTAACATGGAATGATAAATGTGAAATTTGGACACGGGAAGACATTGGGTTGAGGTTTCTATTTTTTTTGACATTGAATTCTGTAATAGAAATTTGTTACTTCATTCCTGTGCATAACTTATTTAATGTACTGTATAAAGGAACCTAAACTGTTACAGATGTATTTAGTTTGTTCTACTCAAAAGTAGTCAATAAAAGGACTATATTCATTGTACAGCTCCCCCTTCCTCCCTCCCAAGGAGCATCGGGGTTTCTGGGGGAATGCTGCCACGCTGTGGCCTCGGCCACGGGAGCTGTGGGGATGAAAACTGCCTCCCTTGCGGCGGTGCTGCTGCTGCAGGTCCTCTGGGGATTTGTTTGATTGATGTTTAAAGATGATCTTTTCTGAGCTGAGCTTTTTTTTAAATTAGAGCACTGAAGAGCCTGCAAGGTGCTGTTGCAGCAGGATGACAGTGACCTGTGTCCCCTGGTCACTGGAGGACGCCCACTGGGCACACCTTTGCCTAATCTGAGGATTTCACTGAAAACACTCATGCCAGTGGTTAAGAAACCCAAAGTTGGGGGTCAAACCAAGCAGGGGTCTGGGGAGGCTGCTGGTGTCCCTTGCAGCAGCTGTGCCAGCAGCTCAGGAATCCTGAAGCCCAGAGCCAGTGCCTGCTGCAGCTCTGCGTGCCCAGAGTGCCCGTCTGGTGTGTGGCTCATGGGGTGGGACACGGCCCTTGGTCTGGCAGCTCCCTGAGTCACCTCCCATCGTGGGAAATTAGCACTGATCAATAATTAGGTAAGTAATTGGGCACTGGGAGGAGGGGTGCCACGTGGACACTGGTCAGGCTCTGTGCTCACCTCGTCCCTGGGAGAGGGGTGTGTTTGCTGTCTGGGTGCCCGAGCCTGCTGTGGGATGGGGTTTGAGGGGGCCCATCTGAGCTGGCACCGCTGGCTGCTGCTCATGCCCCCCGCCCACATCCCCCAAGTTTTCCTGATGCCATCGCTGCAGATCACTCCCGGCATCGGCCAAATCCCCCAAACCCAGCGAGCCCCTGGGAAGCTCCTGCCGGGGCAATGCAAGCACCCCAATCCTGGCACCACCCCCCCCGTGGCCCCACAGTACCAGCGTGGGACGGGGGTGACACAGTGCCAGACAAGTCCAGCAGTTTGTGTGCAGTGTCCCCGGGATGGAGCTGTACCCACTGCCCCTTCAGCCACAGATTAACTACATTTTAATTACTGTACCCGGGGACTGGGGAATAAACAGTCAAATTAATGTTTCTGGGAGCAGTACCCACGGTGAGTAGGAAAAGAGGTTGGAGGGCGGGAGAGGGGGTGGGTACCCGTGGTGGGCCAGGCGAACCCACCGGGTGTCGGGAACAGGCAGGGTGCAAGCACAGTGGTATCTTCTCTGCCAGGAGGCAGTTGCCTGAGGGTATTCCCTGCCCGGCCTCGCTCACCCGTGGTAGCGCTTGCTCCGTGCTGGTCACGCCAGCGCATTCTACAGCAGCTCAGCTGAGGATCCGCTTCTGCAGCGCCACAGGGAAACCCGGAGTGCGACCCCCAACCCAGGTGGGCTTTGCTCTGCTCCAGCCCCTGGGGCTTCCCCGCTCCTCTCATGACTGCCCCCGCGTCAGTATTAATCCAGCTACAAGCTCCTTTTGGCAGCACTGAACCAGGGCCAACTCTGGTTTATGTTAATTGAGCCACAGGATGAAGCAACAGAGCTATGAGCCACGCTCGCCTTCCCCGGGAGGTGCGGAGTGGTTTATTGGGGGGACGTGCAGAGCCATGGGCACAGCTGGGGGAGCACGACTCCAGTCTCAACACCATCGCAATGGCTGCAGCCAGGTCTGGCAGGCCTTGCCAGAAATACTTCATTATCTTTGTTTTCTATAAAACACGATTCACAATCCGTACAAGGTGGCCTGGGTCCCCGGGCAGAGCCACTGCTGACCCCGGGTGGCTCTAGTGTGCCAAGCACAGGGATGCCATCGCTGGGCAGAGCCACATCCCCCAGCCCCTCCCGGGCCCCTGTGGAGCCTCAGCCTGTTGGAAGAGGAGCCGGGGTGGGAGAAGGGCTGAGGGCTGCGGGGATGCAGTGCTCCCCAAGGGGCAGGCTGACACCCCCAAACACAGCGCCCACGAGTGCTGCTGGGGGTGCCCGGCTGCCCCCTGGGCAGCACAAAGATTGTCCTGGTGGGCGGAATAAATAAATTAACATGAACAGAGCAAAAGGGTAAAACACTGCCAGGGACCATGGGCAGGCAGCCTCCGCTGGACCACAGGAGGGGATGAGGGACAGGGAGGTGACGAACGCGAGGGAAGGCGATGGCTGTGCCGAAGGCTCCCCATCCTTCCGCATGCTGATGGTGTCCTGGAAGCAGCTGCCCGGGGTCAGTTGTTGTTCATGATCCACCAGGAGGCTGCGGAGAGAGGGGAAAGGGTCAGGGACACACAGTCTGTGTTAAACAAGGGTAGGGGTGACAGAGATAGGGGATCTGGCCCTGCCTGGGGTTCCCGCAGGTCCCTGGCACCTGGCTCTGAAGCACCCACTGCCTCGGGCTGGGGAGCTCGGCCATGGCATCGCCTGGAGATGGCCGATCTGCTCGAGCTGCGGTGACCGCTGCAGAACAGCACTGGGAACGTGGTCAGTGGGAGCAGCGGCTCAGCAGGAGCACTGCTGGCATGGGATTCAGTCCAAATAGATCTGCGTTCCATGTTATTTTATACAAGACCCAGAAGTGATAGCAAACTAGGGCTTAATTTGGTCTTACCCATCACCAAGCTCTCCCAGTTCCTTACGTCTTGGTCAGATTTCTACAAGTACCCTGGGGAACGGGCGTTTTCCCTGAGCTGGTCTCTCCCCTGCCTCAGCACCACAGAGCTATAAAATGAAAGTGGGCCGCAGCCACTGGAGGGCCAGTGCTTTGGAGAGGGGGCTCAGGTGAGGTATAACGAGGCATTGGGTGTATTCAAGACAGGGCTCAGCAGATCTGCTGCCCGGGAAGTGCCCATCGCTGCTCAGCTGTCCCCAGGCAGGGGAGAGGCACCGCAGCGCTGCCAGCACACACAGTCAAACCTGCCGGGGGAAACGGGTCTCCCTCTGCTTCAAAAAAACACAATTTAGGTAACTCCCAAACCAATTTTCTCCTCTGGAGGGAGTCAAGGCACCTGTTCCCTGCACTTCTCCCACTCTCTGCAGAACACCCGGAGCAGCAGCGTGGGACTGTGGGGGTCCCGCAGTCCCCCCAGGATGGCCCCATGGCCCCCCTCACCTGGGAAGAGCATGGTGGTCAGCAGCTCCGGGGACTCCAGCAAGCTGATGATGGACCGCTGGAAAGTCTTGCTGCAGCTGGACTGCAAGTGGCTGCAAAACAGCGTGCAGGGTCAGGAGGGTGCAGGGGTTGTGCGTGCCTCGCGGTTGTAGGAGAGCACGGGGACCCCCACCCACGCATGGGGGGACAGGACTGCTTTTGCACCACTCGGCGCAGGACATCCACTCCTGCCCCACATCCCTTATCGGGGTGTTCACCCCCATCTCCACTGCAAACAGCCCCAGGGGCACACTGGGCTGAGCGGCCTCAGCAGCAGGACGGGCTGCACAAGGAGGGGGAGCAGTGGGGTCCCCTTTCAGCCCCCCCACCCAGAGCATCCGCACCCAGCCCCGCACAAGGAAAGACTCCAACCTTCTCCACGAAGTCACGTCCTGCCAGAACTCGTAAAGGATGAAGCAGGCCTCGTCCGTCAGCTTGCAGGCGGACACGCTGCGGGGACAGGAGCGACCCTGAGACGGGGCCCGGCAAGCTGCCATAGCACAGCCACACAGGACTCGCCAGCTCCGTGAGCGAGGGGCACAGGACTGCACATGAGCCTCACCACGAGGCTTTCAAAGAGCAGTTTGGATGCACCCACAATTTGTGGCTGCTGGGGCCAGCACATGGCTCCAGGGGATCCCAAACCCAAATCCTTCGTGCTTCACAGTTCCTGCAGCCAGGCAGCAGAGGAGCTTTACAGCTATTAAACTGGTCCTTGCTGCTGCCCAGAAAGCAGCAAGTTCAGTGTTTTATTAAGTGTTTCTCAGCACATCCCTAGCACTGCAGCACACAGCCTGACGAAGGAGCTCGTCCTTCCAGCCCTCTGGAGTAGGTGTGTGTCACCCCGTACCCCTCACACACAGCAAAACTGAGGCACAAGTGCAAGAAGCTGAGACCACAGCATAAAACTGCATCTCACTGCCGCCCAAAGTGATGCCGTTTCACCTTGGCTTCTTACACTCCCTCCTGCCAGAGAAAGAGGATGGGGCTTTCTCCCATCCATGGGAAGATGGAGGGAGGTGAGAGAGCAAGGCTCAGGGTACAGGGCCGGGGGAACCATCTGCACTTGGCTGCAGCATCATTAATTCCAGCTGAGGATGAATGTTTCCTCCAGCTGCTGCTAAGGGCTGCAGGAAGGGACCAAGCCCTGGGCAGGGGGAGAGCAAAGCAAGTCACCCAGCAGCTCGGAGGCTGTGTCCCCCTGCGCGGGGGCCACAACACGCTTTGCAATTCCCTGGCATGAACCAGGACAGCGGAGCCTCCCCAGGCTTTGCTCCAGCTTTCCACTCAGATGGAGAGCCTGCCCATGCAATGCTACCCAGTTGTCTACACTAATAGTTCTTCTGACAGAAAAGCCCATCAATTCCAATGAAAAAAATACCATTCTCTCCGCCACACGTGTCAAAACAAGTATATTCCTTTTGTTTGGACTGAAAATGCAATTTTGTGCTATTGGAACTGAAGAGCTAAAAAACAACACTTTAAATGGGAACAGAATGAACATTTCCCACTGAAAGCGGCCTGAAATCTCCCGTGGGAGAAGGCAAGCACCTCTCACAGAGCAGCTGTGCAGTGTCCAGAGGCACGCTGGCAGTGGCACATCATTGGAGTCAGACCCAGGCTCCATCCTCAGCTCTGTTTGGAGCCCCGGAGCGGTGCTGGGGGGCAGAGCCTTGGTGTCACGCAGGGGTTAGCTTCAGGTGTTCACGGCTGCTTCCCAGCAGCACTACACACACTACACATGAAGCAATGCTCTGGCATGAACTCTCCCTTTGACTTTTCCTCTATTACTTTCAAGTCCTTCAGTGCTGGAGGAATGCATGCACTCGCTTATGTGTGCAGGCCACAGACATTCCCACCAGTGTAAAACCCACCCTGCTCCTTGCCAGACACTGACAAGCGGTTCTTGCCGGGAGTACCTGCAGCAGGAGATGGGACAGGACTGAAGGCAGAGGCACTGATGCAGCTGTGACACTATCTCATCCTCTCTGAAAGGCCAAACTTCTGTGTGCCGAGCCCACCCTTGCACTGACCAGCACACAAAATACTCCACAAAAAAACCTTTTTGTCCCCCAAGGGTGCCATGTTAAAAGCCCTTTTTTGGGTGAGCCACACCACAACCAACCCTGCCGCCTGACGCACTTACTGCAGGCAGCTGCTCTGCCCAGCGGTGACCTCCGTGTAGGACCTGAACGCCTGGCGAAACTCCTCAATGCCGCTTGTCGCCACCGAGATCTGCCTCTTCGCCACTAGGATGTGCTGTGAAGGGACAACAGAGAACGGCATCAGGGACTAATCAGCCCCTCCTGCCCTCCCTACTCCCACCTGCTGCGGGACAAGGCAGTGCGGGACAAGCACAGCGCCACAGGGGAAGCCGCAAGAAGGGGCTGGCACCACAATGCTGGGGACACCACCAACATAAAGTGGCTTCATCCTACCTGGGCAGGTTGCCTTTACAATAAGGACCGCACCAACAGGAGATGCTCCATCCCCCGGTGGCAGGGTCCTGCTTTGGGGCTGCTGCAGTTCCCTGTGTCCTTCACCCAGTAGAAAGGGGCCTCGGGACCCTTCCACAGGGGCTCTGCGTGGTCTGTGGGCGCTCGGCGCAAATCTGGGTGATTTGGGCACTCACAAGCAGAGTGTTGCCTTCCTCTGGGCTGGCCAGGGGCACTGCCCGGGGCTTTCATGGACCTGACAGAGCTGCATTTGCCCTGTGGATGGTCCCATGCCCAGCTCACAGCTCTGACTCTCCTCCCGCTGCATCGCCGGGCAGCAGACCCCCCGCCACACCAAAGCCAGCAGCTCACCCAGGTGACTCCAGTCTCAAGGCACAGGGGCTGTGCAAGCACACATGTGTGTGCAAAAGAGGGAATCTGTGCACACCTGCAAACAAGGAGCAGGACAGGGACTTACTGCATCTCTTCCTTTGCACATCGCTTCCTCCTTCAGCGGCTCCAGGCGTGGGCTCTGCATTTAACAGCACAGGAAAAATCATCGTTACTGGGAGAACTTTGCGACAAGATAAAATGTAGCAGTGACCCACAACCCAGCCCAGCTCAGCGTGACAGATGGGTACTGCTCTGGGGACATTCCTTTGGGTACCTGGGGGAGAACAGGGATGCGCCGTGCACACCTGTGGGGCTCAGTGGGTCCGGACTGACTTGCCAGATCAGTACGGGCCATGGAGAAGCCAGGGGAGGGTCAGCAGAGCTGAGAGGAGAAGGGGGGCTGTGGACACAGCCAGGGCTGAGCAGCTTTGCAAGCCTGGGCCTGGGGAATGGGTGGAGCTCTGTAACGATGCCAGGACCGAATATCAGGGCTGTTGGCACAGGGAGACATCCCAGGACCGACCTGGCCAGTGCCGAGCTGTGGGGCAGCCCCCAGCCCGCCTCCCCTCTGCCACACACCTTGCACTCCAGCTTCTCGATGAGCTGCTGGAGCCTATTGATCTGTGCCATCCACTGGCTGTTGTCTTCAACACAAACGCCTGCACGAGGAAGGGCAGGGAGATGTCACCAAAAAAGCTTGCTTTTGTCACTTGAAAAGCTTGCTCAAGACCCAGAAAACTACAAAAAGCTTCTAAACCTCTAGTTTAAACCATAAAATTTATTTTTCTCCTGAAATTTTTCCCACTGCTCAAAAAATAAAACATCCCACAGAAGCTCCTGCTGGCATCTGTGTGCAGTGGTCCAGGCTGCGTTCCAGACAAGCCCCCGCTGACCCTTGCTGCTGTTCCCACACCCTCTCCAGACTCCAGTGGGGCAGAGACACCAACCCAAGGGATGGCCAGGCTGCAGATACCTGTCGTTAGCATCCCGGAATAGGGGTCCGTTGGAGACAGACAGACATTTTTCTGTCCTCTGCGCCCACATCGTCTCCCCGACTTCAGGCCAACCGAGGTCTCAGATTTCTTTATGTCCTTTCTGAAAGAGTAAAATGCAGAAGGAGGGGTTGAAGTCATTCACTATACGGGTCAGCTTCACAGCGGGCTTCGAAAGGGCAGATCCTGCTCCCAGATGTCCCTCCCAGGGGGACCCGTGAGTCCTGCCCCCCACAACCAGTGGCGTGGAGAGGGGAAGCCCCAGCATGTCCCACCCCATTACCTCTCCCGTCCTGCCTGTTCCTCCATGGTGTCAACAGCACATTCGAGCGAGGCCTGCAGGGACTGCAGCTGGTGCATGGTTTCCCGCAGCAGGAAACGGGTCAGGAACTGCTCCATCTTCGAGGAGGTCTCGTACCTCTGTGAGGAAGGGGAGAGGATCTGTCAGATGCCTCCAGCGCTGCGCTGGTGGAGCAGAGCCGCATCTGGAAGGGGTTTGCCCTTAAATAAACCCAACGGGGTGGATTCCAATCAAATTTTTAGCTATTGTAGGTACGATGACACTGTTGGACAAAAGCATCCTCTGGGTGCACACCTGTGAGGCCACAACAGGGAATGCACAGCACGACCCCCTCCATCCCAGCCCCAGCACCCACAGCCCCCAGGAGCTGTGGAGGACCACAGATGGACGCTCCCAAGCTGCAAGGTAAAGGCCACTTGCAGAAACAGCCCCCAGCTTCGAGGAGGGCTCCGGGGCAGGCAGAGCATCCCTTGCTGCACCCAACAGTTCACACACTGCTCTGCTTGCACCAGGGCTCTTGGGACAAGGCTGGCGGGGCTGAGAGCCTGCAGCTGCCCCCCAGGCGCAGACAGCCCCTTCCAGGGAGCACCCCACCACTTGGAGGGCAGGGCAGCGGGCTGGTTTCATGCCCTGTCTCCCTGGGAAGACAGCACCACACCTCTCTGCTCCGATCGGAAAAGATCCCTCCTGAATTTCTGATGTGTGCTTGCACTTGGGGCCAACCCACAGCCTGTCCCCATGTCACCCATCAAGCATGAGTGACAGCCCCTGCCAGCCCCAGCCTATCTGCCCTACGGTGCTGGAGGGGTATCCGGTAGGAACACGGGGCTGTGTGCCTTTTACTCACCACCCTTCTTCCTGGTCTGATGTGCAACATGCACACCATTGGGCGTTAGTGCTGGGAGCATGTAAAGGCGGGTCCAGGGGCGGCACACAAATAAGTGCTAGGGAGAGTGAAAGGGTCACCGTGCATCCCGGCAAGAACACAAACTGGCCTGGAGGGCACTCAAACAGTGGGTCAGGATGCGCACCATGCCCCAAGGAGCACGTCCAAGAAGCAGAGAGCTGGGGAAGTACCTGGACACACACACAGGCGCCCCAAATTCCATCCTTTGCTAGCTGTGACCACAGATCCTCTAGGGCAAAAATCTGGGTACACTGAACAGCTGCTTCCCAGAACACGACTCCTTTCCACACGCTATGGGCTCCGCTGACAGCAGCATTCCCTGGAGCCTGCTCCAACCTCTACTTTTTCGTCCAGTTTTCACTTGCTTCCTTAAAACCACCTGGAGTTTTGTCCTTGCACTGTTAGACACCCAAGGGCCTGGAGAAAACCTCAGGCCCCCAAGGATGCAGACGAAGTACCCAAGGAGGGATGCTCAGCGAGGCAGGGAGCAAGGAGACAGGAAGAAAGGCTGAGGCACGTACCCAGAGATAGACACTTCCGGGGCAGGCACAGTTGGCCTCCGCTGGGGCTGAGCCACGGTCTCCCTTGCAGAGCAGGTACCTGTGCCTGATTTGCTCCCGTGTGACTCCTCTTGTTCCACTGCAGGGTGAGGCTCTTCCTCCCTTCCGGGCGTCCCTCAGGAGTGCCAGTCATGCCAAAGCCTGCAGTTGTCATAGACAATGGCAGCAGCTTCACCCGGTCAGGCTCTGCAGGCCAGAAGCAGCCCAAGTTTGTGCTAAGGACCATATTGCTGCATCCCTGCAGTGCAGGCAGGCCATGGGAGACCCAGTGGCATGATACTACCACTGAAAGCACGGCAGGCTTCGCCGTAGCACCCAGGACTGACCCACTCAAGCACAGCATTATCGAGGACTCAGCACAGAAAATCCATGGGGCCACCTCTTCTTCTGTGGGCTGAAAGCTCTCTGGGAGGAACAGCCAGTGCTCATGGCCAACTCCCCATCTTGCACCTCCACCAACAGGGAAAAGTTGGCAGAGGTGCTTTTTGAGAGCTTTGGGGTGCCAGCCCTGCACATGGCTAACATGGGGTTCTTCTCCCTCTGCACCTACGGCAGTCACTGGTCTGGCCATGCAGTTAGGGGCAGGAGTGTCCCATGTCACCTCTGCCTGCCCGGGCCAGACCTGGAGGAAGGCTACCTATCACCTCAGGGTGGCTAGCAGCTTCATCTCTAGCTACCTGCACAGCTTGCTGATGGACAGCCCCAACAACCCCTCAGTGCTGAAGACCTTGAAGAACGTGACAGTGATCCAGCTGAAGAAGCAATGCTGCTCTGTCTCCATGGACTATGAAGGAGACCTCCATGACCAAGGTTACTATCACCCAGCCAGATTTCAGACTCCCTGATGGGCGCTGGATAACCCTGGACATGGAATGGTTCTGCTGCCCAGAGCTGCTCTTCCAACTGAAGCTACTCCACCAAAGCTCCCCAGGGCTCCACCACTTGGCCTTGCAGAGCCTCCAGATGGTACCCGACCACACCAGGACGGACGCGGTGGGTAACATCGTGCTGTAAGGGGGCTCCTCAATGTTTCCTGGCTTTCCTGAGAGGATGTGCTTAGAGTTAAACACACTGTTCCACAGCACAGGCTGCAAGATTCAGGTCCTGGTGAGCCCAGAGAGAGGCACAGCAGCACGGGGGGAAGGCTCAGTGGCTCACGTCACTCACATCCTTCCAGCACGCATGGATGGCAAAGGGCAAGTACCAGGAGTATGGTACATGAGCAAGGTATTTCAGTAGGCAGATGACGACTATGCATTCAAACCATCCCACTAGCGGGGCACAGCTCCTGCTGCAGAAGCAGTGCCTCCGAAACACTGCCTTGCTCCACGCAGAGCTGCAGTGGCGGTGGCGACCGAGGGCCAGCTCCTGCACTGCTGCAGGAGTGCGAAGTTGATTCAAATGCTCCAGAAGTAAACTGCTTTTCATTTACACTCTGGGTTATTTCAGTGCCTATCCAGCATCACTCCAGTAAGTCTGTGCCCGATCAGGCCAGCAACACAACTGTGGCTCATGCTGTGAATTCAGGCCGTGCCGACTGTCTGGGTACAGCCAGTTTACAGCCCAGCACTGACACTCCAGGCTGGAGGCTGTGCATGTCCAGAGCACTGCAGCAAAGCTGTCCTCTTTGAATGCACTGTCTGCAGCTGCCAGCACAGGGAATGGGGCTGTTCCAGGAGGCAGAAAAGCTCCTTCCAGCAGTCAGCACAGCAGGACCCCCAAGGTCTGCAGGGAGCCACAGGGGTGGGAGGAAGGACCTGGGGAGGAGAAGGCGCCTGCACTGCAGCAACTTTACTATGGGAGGTGATTTCTGATCTTGGCACCAAAGCAGCTCAGCACTGGGTAGTACGAGCCAGTGAAAACCAGAGAACTGAGTTCACTCTTTGCAATTCTGGTATAAAGGTCAGTTGATGCTTCACGGAGCCGGTTCAGCTCGCTGAATGGGCAGAAAAGCACTCACTTGCCTTTGCTGCTGCTTTAGTGAACTCACTTAGCTTAGCAGATGATTAGAAAAGGATGAGAGTTGCAAGGAGGAAGCAGCTGGGAAGCACTGCCCAGCTGTCACAGCAGACTCTTTTCCCTATGGCCAGCTCCCATGCCCAGTTCCTCAGGGGACAAAGAAACCATAGGACATCACCGTGGGCATTAAGAGAGACAGGACTGGCAGTGGGAGGTCAAGGAAGGAGTCTCCACATCATGCAGGAGGGCTGGTTGCTCCACAGGAGCATCCACCAGGAGAGGTCAACCCCTTTCCTTGACAAGACGAGGAGACAGACTGGACCAGAGCCACCTCTGCCTTCCCCATGGTGCCCTCATATGCACCCAAGGCTGCAGCACAGACCAGGAGCCAGGCTGCCTTCACTCCCCCAAGCACCGTGAACTCCCTCTTTCACATCCAAAATAGACTCCAGCAATGCTACCACACTATTCAGGTCAAATATTTCCAATTCCTACTGTGTTTCTCTCCAACACATGGGAGAACCGAGGATTTTGAATTGCAGCAGCTCTCCACAAAAGCATATGGACATAACCCTTCTGATGCTGGTGCCAAAAATTGGTTGAGGGGGCACAGTGGGGAAGGTCTTGAGCCCCACATGGTTTTCTGGTTCCTCTGCACCACAGCCAAGCCACCAGCCCAGTCCCAGAGCTGTGTCTGCCTAGGGCTGCTGGCGTGGCTGCAGCTGACCAGGAGGGGAAACGAAGGGGAGAGAGTGTTCATCTACCAAAGCACTGCTCTGGGCTCATGCTGGAGCGGGCAAAGGACAGCCACAGCCACCCCCCACACCCCACCACCACCTGGGCGAGCAGAGCCTTCTGCCCAGCCACCACATTACCGATGGGTCTTCATCCATGCTTGAAAGCGAATCTTGTTTTTCTGCCAGAGGAAGAGAACAGCAGCGAAGCCAATGCGGATGTGGGAAGCTGAGCTCCAGCTCAGCATTTCCAGGCTTTCCCCAGTCAAACATCCCACCTGCACCCACAAGCCTTCCTCCCCCATGGCCGCAGAAGACGGAGAGCACAGGGCTGGGGAGCCCAGGCAGGGACTCTGCTGCTCCCCCTGCCCGCTCCTTCACCTCCTCACTCCCAAGGGCACAAAGATACCCTGCCAGTGCCGCTCCTCTGCGCTTGCCAGCCCAGACACACATCCCCTGCTTACAGGGGAACAACCAACGCTCAAACCTCCCCAGGACGAGCCTCAGAAAGGTGAAGAATACTAATTGACTGAGTCCCCACTGGGGTGCAGCAGAAAGGATACATTATTCATCCACCGCATGGCCGGGCACAGTCCATTTCATTTCAGGAGTTGGTCCAAATCCAAACAGTGTCACCTCTCTTTCTGCACAGAGGGCACTTCCCAGGACAAGCAGCCTCCACAGCCGTGTGGACCCGCTTAACGAGGGGTGCTCCCATCTCTGCTGCATCCTCCCCAGCCCCCCGCTGGGGCTGGCTGCGGCCCCCACAGCCTTCGCATATGGATGCTTCCCCTTGCACGGGGGCCGGATGCTTCTCCCCAACTGCATTGCTCCCCTTCGAAGGGCCAAGTGCTGGGAGAAGCCCCGGCGTCAAGCCAGTCTCCCAGCACTCCCCATCCTCTCAACCTTCATCCTGAGGATGGCCTAATCCTGCTCTCCTTTGTGGATGATGTCGCTGGATGGACTTTATTGCAGGAGCAGACAGCTGCTCACGCAGACATCGTGCCATGGCTGCAGGGGGCACTTTCAGCCTGCCCTGAGCTCCGCAGTTCACCCCAGTGCAGTCCTTACACCCCAAACATGCAGGCACAGGCACCTGCCTGAGATGGCACCCCCCCAAAACTCAACTACCAGCCCAAGGCACGCCATGCTCAGAGGAGACTCAGCCCTGAAGCTCACCATGCAGAGGGCTCCCCATCCTCCCGATGCCAGCACGCCCCAGCCCACCTTACAAGGGCAAAGCAGGATCCCACGTGGACATGTCAGTGTTTTAGGTGAGCATTGCACATGACGAGCCAGCTGCCTCCTGTCTCTCGCCTCGTCAAACACAGCACGCCCAGGGGAACACGCCGAAGAGAAGGATAGAAATAACCATTTCTCAAGAGAGCCTCAAATGCTGTTTCACCCTTCTGCATTGACTTGGAAAACTTCACGCCAAGGGAGGGAATCAATTAAAAAATGCACCTTCCCTTCAGTTCAGCTGCCCGGCCCCCTTTACACTCCTCAATTTGGGGCAAACAAGCAAAACCCTCGTCAGGTGTTGCACCACACAGTTCAAACCCCTCTGTAAATAGAGGCTCAATAAAAACATGTTCTGTCTCACTCAGCACAGAATTTTCTGCAAAGACTCTTGGAAAGGAGTCACGGAGGAAATAATGCAGCAAGCACGAGACAAGGCTTTTCGGTCATGTACTGGTATTTCAGCTCCATTGACCCAGATGAAAATCCCAAAGTTGCCAAGAGCTGCCATAATTACGCTTTTGAGAGGTTTTATTAGTTTCTTATGATGATAGTTAAGCTTGGGACAGAATGGTGATCGCATTATTTCTGCCAAAGAAGAAATATGAGCGCCTGACTTGGCGAGGTATTTATGGGCTAGTGTGCAGCGTCTGCAAACTGAAGAATGGAGAGATTTTAGCATATAGGTACCCTGTGAGAAACATCAGTCTGTTCCCCAAGGTATTTCCACATCTTACTTCTTACTCTGACGCTGTTATATTGCAAACGCAAAGTTTAGCCACAAGATAAGCTGTAGTTAGTATACTACAGCATAGCTATCAAGTTATATTTTACAAATGGAAGTAGGAATGACAGAATTTGGAGAAAAAAAACCTCTTTTCTTGAAAAGACAGCTTTTCCTTACCATGTTTTACCAACCCAGTGAGGAAGGATGGGAGCATAGGAACACCTAATCATTTGGTTTCCTCCTGCCAACCTGTGGATCTGTAACAAAAACCACGAGCAGGTTTGCTGCTCACACATACACTATTTCCTCCAGTAATTGCAGTCACTTACACAGTGAGACGGATGAACCCAGCTCACATTTCCTATGCTTTATCACAGTGTTTATCCTGCAGTCAACCACGTGCATGACAGGCAGCGTTATCGAGGAGCCTGCCAGCAAGGAGACAGCCGCTGAAACACGCCATTGATCCACGCCGGGTACCCTGGCCCGCATTGACCACGACAACACACACGGAGGTGGGAATCCTCAATATCAAAAAAGGCTTTCAGCAGTACTGCTTCAAACCACAGCTCCCAAACACAGAGCCACAGCATATTCCCTCTGAGCTTTGGTTTCCCCTCTCTCTCTCCTCCCTGTAGCTCACTGCCCTGGCATGGTCTGAACAAGCCAAGCACATCTCCCAGGCTCTGCTTTTGTTATACTAACAAAGCAGCTCACGCTCTCTGTCTATTTTCCTTCTTGTAAAGTGGGCTCATATTTACGTGAGCCTATTTACAGCTGCAGGTAAGTACCTGGAGGATGCAGGGGTGAGCATGCCTGTGGCAGGTAAAGTAAAATCTACCAGAGATGGACCATGCCCTTACCAAGAGATGTAGTGGTCCAACGGGTGAGACCCAGCTCAAGTCAGAGATCCCCTTCTCCTTCTTCTACCTAGTCCGGGTACCACTGCCTCCTCAGGAGTCACACAAAGCTCTCTTAAATACAGTCTGGGGAGAAATGGGCAGGGACTGAAGATCCTTCAACATCTGTTGACTCCACAGTCCTGCACTGAAAGCAGAGCTTTATGGTGAGGGCCATGGAGCAGGCAGACCTCTTCCAATTTGCTCAGCGCACAGCGTGGCTGCACCTCCAGCAAAAGCAGCTCCCCAGGATGAAGTTTCATTCAGCTCTTCCAGGAAGGTTGTTTCTCTGACAAACTGGGGCTCTCAGCCCTGGTGGCATTAGAGGTGTTTGAATCAACAGAAATAAAGGACAGACACGTAATATGGGAAATCTCTGTTCTCTGCCCCCTCCCCTGGCTCAGAGAGGTGTGAGCTTTGGCTAAAATCCAACCTAATAAACCCACTAATCCCGTAATAACCCAAGATCAAGTCCCGTTCTGGAAATATAAATGTGGGAATACATTCAGGTCACAGCAGGTAAGAATGCAGCATTTATCATCTCTGCCAGCCTCAGAGCCTCAACAGCGGCAGATTTCCCACAGCACTGCAAGAGCCCTGACCACAGGGTTGGAGCATTGCCCTCTCCTGCCTTCGCCCCAGCTCAGAGCCCAGTGGACCAGGGAAGCACAGGGAGGTACTCCCCAGGAGAGTCAGTATCTGCTTCAGGGCACCCAGGAACTCAGGGCTGGATCAGAGCACCCGGATCAGTGTAGACCTCAGCTGGGTGAGAGCAGTGCTGTGAACATCGGGCTGTCCTGGCACCCTGCCGGGCAGATCCAAGAAGTGGTGGGAAAGCAAGTCCACAAAAATCTTTTTCAACAGGGAAAACCTGCTTCTCTTTTCCAGGGAACACCTGTGGCACCAGAAACTATTAAGTGAATGAATGCCTCATGCCAATACCGTGAAGCAGAGAGTAACTGCGCTGTCCTTTGGAGAAATGCATGAATACACAAATTTATTACCCCCAAAAAAAATAAAACAGAAAAGAACTGAAATAAAGCATAGCTCTCTGAAGGGGATTCATTCTCTCCCTCTGGACTTGCATTTAATAACTGTGAAGGGGGCCAGGCAGTTGAAACAAAGAGAAAATGCATTTTCAAGTGATTCCCTCTCCTGGCATGAAATTTCTCAACGCACAGGGAGATGCTGCTGAGGCTGGATCTGGCCAGAGGAAAACTGAAAGAGAGGGCAAGATCGTGACTGACACTAGAGGCACAAACACCACTTTGATGACTCTGCAGAGCTGACAGCAGGACCAGTCCCTCTTTGCTTCTCTGCCTGTCAATAGGTCAGTGGACGGTGTGCATGTGGATGATGTCCTTCATCTGCTTCTTACCAAGCATCGAACCACCACATCAAAGGGAACAAAAGGGCCATCTCTTCCCATGGCTGTAAAACAGCTTTAACCCCAAGCACACAGCTAAACCATTTAATACATTTCAGATGCAAAGGGGACTGCTGGTCCCCAAGGAGGGTCCCTTCCAGTAATGCCCACTGCTCTTTCGCAGCTATATTTAGCCTGCAATGCTGTGCACTGCAGAACTCTGCTTTCCGACACAGAGACAGGGGGGCTCACAAAGCAGGAGGCTGCTTGCTCCAATTAGCAGCCTCCAATCTGCCTCCCATCAGCAGAAGCTGCAGGGAGAGGGAGAGCATTCACTGCAGGGATGAACTCGGCACAAGGCTGAGAGTCAATGAATTTCACCATTTCCTACCTTCTCCAAGTGCCTCGCTGTTTCCCAAAGCGGCCCTCCTGCCGCAGTGGCTCCTGGTCCCTCTCCAGCAGCCAGTTTTTGTCACTGTGAGCACAGGCTTTGCTGAGCAGAAGCTGCTGGGGTCGGTCCAGAGCTGGCTCGACCCCAGAGTTCCCATTTCACACTACACTACTCTGTGGAAAAGACCTTGCTTTGGCTCAGAGACACGACATATACGTTATCAGCAATGCTCCCAGAAACAGTGTCCCCAGGCAGGACCCTGAAAGTAATCTGCAAAGAGCTGTTGAAACAGCTGCTGCCAGAGTATTACAAGGAAGAGGACGTCTCCAGAGCACAAAAGCACTAGCCCTTCTTCTCCAGCCCCACACGGCTACCCCTCATCCAGGCATGCTGCAGGCTGTGCTTCTGTGGCACAAACTGCACGTGGAGACAACTGAAGCACACACTGGCAACTCCATTGATCTGGGAGGTACCACATTTGCTGCCTCTGACACTTAAGTTAAACACTAAGCAAGCGGCTAAGATCACCACAGCTTCTGTTATGCACCTGCCTGCCCCACCACCCTCCCACAGCCCCATCCTTACCAGCTTGGTTTTGTCCATGGCTGCCAGGACTGCAGAGTTGAGAGCCTCCAGGGCAGAAAGCACGTTCCTGTATTCTCCAAGATATGTTGAGAAATAATCTGAAGCAGGAGAGAAGACCATGGTGAGCTTGCTGACAACCTCTATCTCTGCCTCCCTTGCGCCTGCTGCTTCCCACACACAGCCCACCACTGCAGGGGGAAATTTGTGTTCCTCTCCATAGCCATGCTCCCACCTAGACTGACATGAAGAGTCCTTCCCTATCCCCAGGGGAAAAAGCATCCCCATCCCCTTGGGAAAAGCACGGCTGCCCTCTGTGTTGGGATTCAGGCAGAGGGACTGGCAATGCCACTTGACCGCCCAACCTGCCCAGGTCAGATGTGCACAAAGCACCACTGTAGACCTAAGAGAGAGGAAGCCCTCCGAGGCAGGAATATCACCCTACTTACCGCACAATTTCTCCGTGTCCACATTACTGCAAGAAATAGAAAAAACAAGCTCTTGTTAGATGGTGGGTCTGGTTCAGGAGAAACAGTTGTGGTGAGCAGGGTCTTGAGCCCCCAGTGGATTTATTGCTCCTCCCGTGTATTTTCAAAAGCCTTATTAGAAAAATAAAAAGCTGCACAAGTTTAGAGCCAGCAGTTCAGGAGCCATGCCCAGCACCTGCAGCACCCAGGCAGGACTGCAGAGCATCACCTCTCCTTCAGGGGCTGAAGGAGTAAGCAAAGCTGCTCTACCAACATCTGCTGGAGTGTGCTGGGAAAGTGTCTGCGAGAGCAGGATGGGGCCGGGGGAAAGGTCAGGGGAGGCAGGCCCCTGGGCTAGCAGCCCCATGTCTGAGCCCGGGAGCTGACAAGCCCCAGAAACTGTTTCTTCAACACAACCTCTTCCCCCAAAGGTGCAAAGAATTCAGCCAGGGCTCCCTCCTCCTGTCTCCCTTGACCTCAGCCCAGGTCCCGCCTCATGGCTGCCCCATGGCACCAGGTCCCCTCCTCTCCTATCAGCCCCATGGGTGCCCTCGGAGGCTCCTCCTCTTCCCTGCCTTCAGAGCCCAGGTGATGTGGGGCTGCCTTCAGGCTCCCAAGGCAGGGGGCTGGATGGCTTCACAGCCCATGAGAGGGGCTGTGCCTGCTGTGAAGGCCATTAAAGCAGGGATCTGAGTCCAAAAACCCTGGAGGCAGGGGCCAGCTCCTCCACCCCTTTTCAGTAAGGGAGAGCACTGCACTGGGGAATCAATGCTGGCACCCCTGCAGGGCCGGGACAGGTCCCTCCTGGTGCTAATAAAGGCACTGCTGGAGTGGAGAGGGAGGAAGAGATGTCCAGAAACAGCCACATGGTTTTGGAACAAGATGTCAAACAGAACCATAGGTTCACATGAAGCTGATGGATGCACTCAGGTAGCCAAAGCCACAGAGGCAGAGCTGCTTGTGATGCCTGGCATCACCTGCAGAGCCTGCAGAGAAATGCCCCAAGATAACATTTATTCAAATCAGCCTCCACTCAAGAAATTCTGCCGTCTCAAAATCCCCTAAATGATTACAACCATTTTTAATCCTGATTGGGAAAGTGGAAGAGAGCACGAAAGAGAGTTTTTTAAATGTTTAAGTGCTGTCACATGTGGAAGAACCAGTGATACCTGGAGTTTGCTAGGCTCCAAGTGCAAGGACAGCTGCAGTGCCACTGCCCAGGGGGAAGTCAAACCATGGCCACATCACCCTGCCCTCCAGCTGACACTGCTCACAGGGCAAAGGGGCAAAAACACCCCAAAGTAAAATCAGAGGAGAGAGTGTGGGAAGTGTCCAAAATGCCATGCCAAGAGCAAGTGTAATAATTTCAGCAAAATCTTACTACAGCTTTTCCCCCAAACATTAAAGGGTGACTTCTGTGTCTCTCCACCGGGCTTCCACTTCGTGTACTTTACTAATAGGCAGTGATTCAAATCATGAAAATATTTTGGTGTGAGACGTCATTGCAGACCCACGGCTGTGGGACTGCAGACCCCTCTGTTTAGCTAATTGCATCAGGCGCCTTCTTAGGCAATCGAGATGGGCAGTTTTAGGATGAGATTTGACTCATCTATTTTAAACACCTACCGCAGGAGCTGATTAAGGCAGGGCTCTGGCGCACTGTCCTGGCACTGCAGACATTTTTTAAAGTGGATAAAAAACACCCAAAAACTGTGTCCCTTGAGACACAATACAGACAATCAGCAAAACCACAGCCCCCTCTTCCACCAACTCCACTCCATGAACCTTTGCTGATCCTATCTGAGCAGCTTCCATGCATCCAACCACAGCTCTGCTAGACAGACTGGGGTTTGAAGCACATATTTAAATTGGAAAAACGTCTTGCTCCTTAATCTTTCCATGTATTTCCAAAAGCTGCCTGGAGCCTGCAGAGCTGATGCATTGCCACAAGAGACTTGGCACCACAGCATCCATGGCATTGCCTGTTAGACCCATGCCCCAGAGTAATAACTGCAGCCACTGGTTCCCATCCAAGAGATAGGTGAAATTCACACAAGAGGGGACGTGGACATGAGATGATAACAAAATACACAGTGAAACACCTAGTGCATACCTTGCCCAGGTGTTTGCATCTGTTCCCAGTGAGAACCTGAGGCTGGGACTGGTTTTACCAGAAAGAAGAAGGAGCCACCAGCTCAACCCACTGCCCCGATCCCCACCTCAGCTCTAGCGAGCAGGTGTCCAAGTGACAAAGAGCTACTATCAACACCAACCCTATGGCTTCTAAGGAGAGCCCAGAGATTATTAATAACTCTATCTTGTCTGTTTGCTGCTGATCAATCACTAAAACATTGATCAATTAAACATCGAACCAATCACCAAGATCTTGTGGCAAAAATCAACCCTCTGGGAGTTGTCCAGTGGAAGATCTGCTCCCTTCCCAACGCAGCCTGCTCTGTCAACAACCCTGCATGTCCACCTCTTCCCACACTCCGCATCCTGCAGCAGCCCCTTGGGGCACAGTTAGGGACAGGACAGACAGCAGCAAGCAAATTGTAGGACCGGTGGTGCCATTTTCATGCAACCAGAAGCTACTTCATACCAGAAACCAGGAGGAACCAGTCAAGAACCTGCATGTCAAATCCCAACCCATTTTGCAGGGCTGCAATGGAGCAGCAGGCTTCCCTCTGCTCCTCTCTCTGCCGTCCTCTCTTCCCACTTCAAGAGAAGAGCCATCCTCTGCCTCCAAAGCACTCATCCTGAGACTCTCCACATAGCGTATTTTGACTGTGCTCAAACCACTGATTAACTGTAATTAAGCTTGAAGTGATGAAGGATCTTGTCATCATTATGCTGTTGGGATTTTGTCAGAATGCGCCTGGAATTTATGCAAGAAAACAGCAATCAGCTTCAGCAAAGCAGATGGGAATTCTTTTGTTTTTATCATTTATCATGTTGGGAACCTCTGCAGCCATCGCAGAAAATCAGTTCTGTTTTACCTCAAACCAGGACAGGTTTCCAAACCCCTCCAGTGTGATCCAGAGTATTTCAGTCACTCTCCATCATTCAAAGACTGGCAGACGCTGCAGCTCAGTCTCTGACTAAAGAGAGGGGAGGAAAGTTCAGACAAGTCCCTTCTTCCACAAAACCCAGAGGTGTGTGGTTACTTCCACTAGGAGTTTTTAAAAACCACCAGGTCAGCACTCCCACCTCTTTCACTTGTGGCTCAAGGTCAGAGACAACGGGCTCTGGGCAGTCTATACCCAATTCCTGCCACCACCATCTGACCGCTCTCATGCCAAGGAGGATTTGCCATACCTTTCTACATTTTCCAGACGGATGCAGGACAGAAAGACACACAAGGTCCACGCAACACTTCCCTGGGCAGGTTGCATAGTCTCACGCCAGAGGGCAGTAGGCATGCGACCTTTGCAACACTACAACGTTCAGTCCAAAGCACTTTGTAACCAACTCTGCACTAAGTTGTCCCCATGAGACCCTGGGATCTGCTGTCATCCCACCTGGCTGGGCTGCAGACGGACACACGGCTGCTCAGAGAGCAAACTGCACTGTGCATCTCCCAAGATGCTTCTGCAGCGATAGAACTTTTTCATCCCTTCAAAAACATTTGTCTCTTCTCACCCAGACATTTCAGTGGATGAAAATGCCCTTTTCCAGGAAGATCAATCTTTCTGTTCTGCACCAGTGCCAGAGCTGGCGTGGAGCTTTCTGACAAGTTAAAGAAAACACTGGACCTAGTTGTTGTACCAAATTATTGCAATAAAGACTTGAATTTAGTTTCAACATCATTTTTTAAATGCCAAAGAATTAGAGCAAGGAAATATTTTAAAGCCAAAATGGAACAATTTTCAGAAATGCGGAACAAAAAAAAAAAAAAAAAAGCCTTGTGGGGAAAAAAAATCTGAACCAAACCCAACAGAGGTGCCTGATACACAGGCCATGGCACTCCACCTGAGCACCAGGCAGATGGGAGGCGGAGCAAAGATGGGATGGGAAGCATGGGGAGAAAAGGAGGGTGTGATGCCATGGGCTCTCTGGAGGAAGAACAAGCAATGTATGAGACCTCTGAAATATTCATCTTCCCAGATGTCAGCTTTGGGACCCAGGGGAGCAGCTGCAGGTTCGCAGTGATGGGTGAGGGTCAGGATGTGTCTGGGCAGTGCTCCATTACCCAGACACAGAGAGTGCCTGGGTATAAGGGTCTGTGTTACCGTCCCTCCTTAGGTCAGGCTGGTATTGACAGAGAAACACAAGTTTCAGCCTAGACCTGATGAACACAGCACCCTTGTGGCCAAATCCACCCATTGGATTAAGGGTGAAACCTTCCCACCATCAGAAAAGCTATGGGATGTGAAAGAAGCACATCAGATATGTTTGTAGAGCCTGTAGTTGCTTTCCAGCTTTGTAATACTTTGAGTATTGCCTCAGGTAATAACTCTTGAATCTGGCAGCAAATTTCAGCCAGCTCTCAAAAACATTAAGTTCCTGCAAGTGCAAGGCAAGCAGGCAGCCCGGAGGAGAGGGGCTGTCCAGCCCGCCGGCCAAGGGGACAGCAGGGCACCAGCATAGCCCTTACAGGACACCAGAGACTGTACAAAGGAACAAGCCCCCCTGCACACCCCAAAAACAAATGCCAGAAAGTCCAGCTCTACACACAGAGACCTCTACGAGGTCCAGCATGCTGAAGACTGCTTGAGTTCCATAACCTGCCGCTATGCAGTGGGCAAGCGGTCCCTGGGCAGCCCCTGGGGACAGATGGGGTCATGCCTTCCTAGGTACAGGCCTGTCCCTCCAAGCCCCTCACCCCAGCAGGCACGTGGCTCTGGGTCAGGATCAGAACACTCCAGCAGACGCAGCATTGCCCCACGTTGTTTGCAAGGGGCAGGATGCCTCTTACCAGACAACAAACTGAGCTCCATGCTCCCTCTCTAGGAGGTCCCACCTCTTCCTCCTCCAGGAGCTGAGGATTAAGCTGAAGAAATCACATACAGTTCCCTGCTGCCACCTCCCACGTCACATCCCAATCCCACCTGCTCACACTGAAGCTGCCCTGTGCACTGATCCTGTGCATGTGGACCATGTCCCAGCCACGGACAGAAACAAGAACTACACCTGCAAAGGCTGCAGGGCTGGACTTTCCCTTCTGCTCTTGCAGAAATGAGGGCATCCTCGCAGGGCTGGAGGGACAGTGTCTCCTATGTTTGCTTGAAGTCTCTGAACCCAAGAATTTGGAAACCAGCTCCGTTCGCAGGGTCCCTTCTGCTCTTCATGGGAGAAGGAGATCAAAGACCCAACAGTCATGCCCTGCTAATAGATGTCATCAGCTCAATGCTGCAACTGTCACGTTGTCATAGCTACCACATCGTCATTACGGGTAACGAGTTATAGAGTACCGCCGCAGCTAGGGTCACACATGGCTCTTGGAGACAGCTAGCTTGCACGGGGCCCTTCGGTCAGTCCTGCTTATCTGCTCTGGACAGATGGAAGAACGGGGTGGACTAGATGACCTTTAAAGGTCCCTTTCAATTCAAACTATTCTATGACTCTAAGAAGCCCGAAAGTGATGGTAAACCAGGAGATCTCCACCATTCAGTTAAGGGCATGGTTAAAACTCTCTGCTTTGCTGCAACCTATGTTTCCCAGCAGTATTGCATAGGGAGTGACTCCAAGGCCACCCCAAGATGGAGCAAGAGGAAAGGAGCATTTGCAGAGGAAAGGGAATGGCTCACTGCTGACCCCCTGGGACCACACCCCAAAGAAACAAGTATTTTCAAGAGACACCTCCTGCTGCCCACATCCAACAAGCCTAACTGGCAGGGACGGGCATCAACGGGCAGCCAGGTTTAAAAGAAAGCAGCACCAGGGGCTGCACACACCAGCCCACTTCTCTGCCCCATCACTGAAGCAGGAGCATTCACTAAAGCTACCACCTCGACACTCAGCAGGAGTCAATCATCCCAACTCCCCCAGTCCTGAGTGGGTGATGTGGGGACCTGCAGCCAGGGACCACTGAGTATCTGCTGTCGTGGCTCAGTGGCATTTGGTGGCTGTCGGCAACTCAGTGTGGCACAGGCCCTCCATGCCACTGCGCTGGCTCCCTGCAAGGCCCTGGGACCAGCATGTGAAGCTAAGGCTGCTCCAAGTTTACCTCTCCCTGGTGGGGGCCTGCTCAGACACTGCACTGGCCAGGGGCATCAGAGAGGTGCAAGAGATGCTTGCTGAGGTGCCAGGCACACGAAGCAGAGCCGAGCACGCCACCTGAGACCAGGAAGAAGCTACAGCCACCTTCTCCCCCAGCAGCACTCCTCCATTTGAGCAGGCAGCCCCCAGACACGCAATTTTTCAAGGGCCAGTTTTTCTTAGTGACAAAATACGTTCATTCACGGCAGCCAGCAGGGCAGAGGGACCACAGCAGTATCTGAAAGACTGGGATGAGAAACCCAGCAGAGCCAAACGGACTCCTTTAGATAGCACTAGCCAAGAGGAGACCAGGGTTGAGTGCAATTACTTCTCCTGTTCTTTGGGGGTTTCTTTTTTTAAAAGTAGCTGGCCTAAATTCACAGCTACACTCAGAAGGCCCACTTCGGGTGGAAAGCAGCTCTTACGTAAGTGAAAAGCAGTTCCCTGTATCAGCAGTGGCAAAGTCTGCGACTTTGCACAGTCTGTGCATCGTCCTCACTCCACCACATGCTCCTCCTGCAGACACAACCTGCTCTAGAGAGCTGTATATTTCTGGAATACATTTTTCAAACTAACGTAATGTAATTTTAAATGGATAGTTGCTTTTACAGAGCTACAGTAAATCTGATAACGACTGTTCTCAAAATGTCTGGCTTCTCTCTTCACCAGTGCTCATAGCTGATGTTCAATGGGTTTTAACATCAGCGTGTTACAAGAGGTAGGTTTATCTCACCCTGACTATTTATCGCACCCGCCTCCAAACATCCTCCATCTACAGTTAAGCAGTTTTATATTCTCCTTCATCTCCCCTCCTCTGTGCCACCACAGTACTTACTCTGAATGACGCCTGTCAATGCCACTGAACAACTCCCACAGCTCCTCCGAGCTCAGGATCCCATCAGCGAAATAGTTCTTGAACTCCTCAAAAGACAGCTTCCCATCATCTGCATTTAAATAAAAGGGAAGAATAATTATATATCTGCTGAAAGAAGCGCGCAGGCCCCAGCGATCCTCCCAGCAGCCTCACTACCAGGAGCGTGGGACGGTTGGGCGTGTTGTGCATAATAATTAGAGCAGATATCTCATTGAAAGCATGTCCCACCAGTCCCCATGAAAAACCCAGGACTACTGGCAAGCAGGGCCACTGCTGCTAGAATTTCAGGTGGGAATTTCAGCCCCTTCCAAGAAGCCCCTCTGCAATGCTTTCAGAAACACATGCAGACACTCTGTACTTAGATGACTGTCCAAGCACAGAGTCCATTACAAACAGCACAGTAAAGACCATCAGGTTTTTATGGAAAGAGAATTTCTCCATTGACTCAAGAGCTTTTTCCTTCATCTCTGTGGAGGACTTCAGTTCCTGGGCTGCATTTTGATGTGCAACAAAAGTGGTTCCTGGAGCCTGCAAACTACGAAGAAGAGTACCCTAAGAGGGGCTAGGAAGGCTCCAAGAATCAACTTAGGATTTTGGACTTCTTGGTTTATGGGTGCCAGGTTAAAAACTGGGTAGCAGACCCTAACTCTTAAATGCTGGGGGTTTCAGTAGGCATCCAGAAACAGGACCACCCAACTGGGGCACCTGTAAAACCCTGGACTGAGCACAGAGACTGAATCAATCCTGCAAGGGACAGAGCAGAAGCCTGATGGCCCCTGGGCAGCCTGCTGCACAGCTTGCTTTGTCTTCCCTTCTCACTGCTGACAGTGCAGAGGAGAGATTGTGTGCATACAGGCAGGAGAAGGGCTTGGAAGGGGTTCTGTCCTCCATAGTGCATGGACAGTGAATTAGGGGAGCCACCTTCCCCGGCTCCTGGCCAGGCCCTTTGCTCCTGCGCCTTTTCCTCCAGGAGAAGCAGAAAAGCGTTTTTCTTGCAGGCAGCGAGTTGCTTGCCCTTATCCTCCTTCACTCTTTCAGCCAAACCTCCCAGCAGGGACAGGCTGTGCTGCTTCGCCCAGACCTGGGCAGGAAGCGGGAGGCAGCGGCAGGAACAAAGCACTCACCGTTCTTGTCGGCTCGTCGGAAAATCTGCAAGAGAAAATACAAGAGGGTTTAGTGAGGGAATAGGGAGAGCAGCATGGCTGAATAGCAAGGCTGGTGGCACCCAGCACTGCCACCACAGGAAAACCCTCCTGGAGCCCAGGGAGCAGTGGAGAAGCCCTGGCTGCCAGGGCTGCCCAGGCCAGCGCTGCACAGGCTGCTCCAGGGAAATTCCCCTTTGCAAACGATTAAAAGCATTTCTCGCCTCCAATGCACAAAGCTCTCAGTACAGCCGCCACCGCCAGAGTGAGTCCAGCACTCATACCGAGCATCATTTAGAGAACACAGAGGGAAACAAAGTAGAAAGGGCCTCCTTGTGATGGAAGGTGTTTAATTTTTCAGACCCTATAAATGAAAGAACATTAAGCACAAAACCACTCCATAACAGGAGTACTTTGTGCATCACCGCTGACACTTCAGCAGTCTGCAGCGAGGAGCAGCTCTTGTCCTGCACTTTGTAATCGCCCTTCACAACAATCCTTCCTGCGACACCTTGACATGCACACACACCGTAATTAATAATTAATGAATCAATTAATCTGTAACTAATTCTGCCACAGAGCACAGTTGGAGAGCTGCTCCAATTCAGGGTCTCAATCCAGGCTCCCAACCACGAGGCTTCTGCCCATGACCCAGGAGAAAGCTGGGGCTTCTTATCCCTGCCTGGCTCCTCTTTCATCAATAATTATCGGAAGGTCTGGGGCCGACTCCGGTGAGGAATAGCATAATTTCTGAAGCCTGGGAACATCTTTCTAGACCAAATAGTATGAGGTTTTGGCCAGCAAATCCTAAGAGAGCAAATGACAGAAAGTTGCATGTGTGGTAACTTTCTTGATGAAGAAATCTGAAGGTCTGAAGAAAGATCAGGAATGAAAAAGGACAGGAAAAGGGGAAAGCAGACTTTGTTATATTCTTTTCCACACACCTGCAAAGTGGAAACCGCTGATAAAACCACCCCCAGACAAGCTTTGTTCCCTGCCGCAGGAAGACGCATTGCTGCCAGCTGCCCCCTCCGCCCCCAGCTCCCTTCTGCAGCGCTCCCTGACGGCTTTGCTGCACGTTTTGAGGGCACAAGCCCACATCTAGCCACTGAAATGTCCCTGAAAAATTGCTTTGAGGCAAAGAAACAGCCGCCCAGAGAAACCTCCGCTGCTCACTCCTGAGGAAGCTGCTGGCTTGCAACTGGGTAGAGGCTTTTCTGATGCTGGTCCCAGCAGGGAGCTCCCTGGTCCTTCCCCACAACTGAAGGCAGGAGC